AAAGGGGATGGTCACAAGCCCCACTGTACTGCTTCCGCCCAGGGAATCACTGCTACTAATAGTACTGGTCGTACAGGACCCTCCTGCTCTCCCACAGAAGGGATGAGGCAGCATCTCTTGCTCATCCAGTTTACTAAAAAAATGAAGGTCTCAGCACCCACTGCCTGCTGTGTTCCCAGTCCAGAGAGAACACCACAAATCTGAGCTATGGATTTGGTTCAATACCTGTTGGCCCTGGCATACTATAACTACTTTCCTCAAATCCTATTTACAGGCCAAATGCACCAGGACAGCACAGGCATTTCTATTATTTAGTGATGAATCGGTGAATTCGTGTTGCGAAATGTAACAGCAGTAAAGAGTGCAGATTTCTGCACTTTACCTGGGTGCACTGTCCGTAGCTCTGCAGGTTCACTTCCAGTCCGCTCCTTCGGGAAGAAAGCAAGTTGAGAATGAATGAGCACAGTGCACACACTTGTCATAGAATCATAGAGTCATAGAATTTAGGGGTTGGAATGGACCTTACAGATCATCTAGTCCCAACCCCCTGCCCTGGGCAGGGACACCTCCTCACTAGATCATGAGTCAAACTACCTTTTTATACTCCAAATGTCAAGAGGAGCAACTACTGCTCCAGAAAGTTCTCCCATGACCCAAACCCTTCACTTACGCAACAGCATTGCAGAATTGGCACTTGTTTCTGTAGGTGATGCCGTTGGTGCCGCAGATGGGGGAGAAATCCATGGTGCAGGGGACGTTGAAACCGTTGCCGGGCTTCAGGTGACCAGTACAGTCGATCTGAAACAGTCACACCACAGCGTTTTAATCTCTGCTCCCCTTTGCATCAGCCTTGTGTCATGGAGCATGGTGCAAGAGATATCTCCCTCTCTCCCCTGAGCTACAAGGGGGAAGGACATCCAGCCCCAACATGGTGGAGTTGGAGGAGCACAGCTGAAATCCTGCATGTGGGTACAGCATGGAGTATCTGTCCTGAAGTGGGCTACATCCCTGTCATCCTGAGGATTTTCATCCTGAACACCACCATGAAGGATCTTTGCCTAAAATACCTTATGCAGCAGCAACTTTCTGCTGTGACATGTCAATGCCATTTGGAAATGGAGTTTGCACTCAGCTCACAGCTTCTGCAATTACTCTGAGTGTACTGAAATGGAAGTCGTTGTATTATGTTCAATTGCACAGCCAGAATGTTCCTTTACTCTCTCTCTAAACTAGAAATAGGGATATTCTGCCACTTCATGGTAGCTCCATATACTGATAAACAAACTTCATGATAAACGTTCTGATAGAATCATTCTCTTTTTTTTCTGCTACAATATTGCAATTTAGTCAAAATCCAAACTTCCTCTGGGAATTTCTCAGCTTCAACAAACCACTAAGTCTAAATCTAAAGAGAAGTGTTTTCATAACGCTGAACGAAACATTCTTGAAACTGAAATTTTCCTCTCTGAAGTCTAAATTCTGGTGTTGTACAGAAGACATTTCGCATTTTCAAACTCACTGATTCTAACTGTTCAAACAAAATGTAAATTAAATTCCTTCAAATGTGAAATTCTTCATTTTCATCCCATTTCTGACAGCTAGAAATTGTGTGGGTTCAGTACAGAATTAATCCTAGGCAAGGTCTCTGTCTAGCTCTGCCGTAATTTCAGTCACTGCTGCTCAGGGCAACAAGAGAAGGAACCAATCTCAGACCGTACCTTAACGCATCTTCCATCGTGCTTCTTGTCAAGAGCACGGTTACGGCTAGAGGGAGAGAGAGAGGAGGAAAGGAAGGATTAATCGCTTCATACCATGTAGTCATCTCAATCATTAAGTCTCTCCACTCGTAAAGCCCCAGTAATTAATCAGATTCTGGAGCTTTGACACGGAAGATCATGGGCATTAGGGAAGACAGAAACTCAAGAAAAATCTAGTCCACCCCACGATTAGTCACAACCCCAAGGGTTTCTGCCTGCTGCTTGAACAGGAATTGTAGGTGATCAGGAGATGTTCTACTCACAGGAAGTCCTTGCAGAGGGAGCACTCGTTGGGGTAGGTTCTGCCGTTGGTTCCACAGACAGGGTCGTAGTTGCGGGAACAGGCAATCGTCTGGGTTTTTCCAGTCAGTCCTTGTAAGTACATGCCACAGGAGGCCTGTGAAAGAGGACTTGTAAAGTCTCCAGGTAGCAAGAAGGGTGTTCTGTGCTATTTTGCTACATTGGGAGGCTACTGTTGTCATTTTTTTTTTCACTATGGTTCCTCCATGGTGAAGAAGAGAAGAACAAAATATTCCATGTTCCTTACAGCATACAAAGGCACCTGTTTGCTATTAAGACTTAAAAGTACTTTCAGCAAGAATTACGGGCAAAAAATGAACCTTCCTTGGGGAATCAAGGCAGGGAAGATATTTAGGCAGTTATTCAATAGTCATATAGATTTTCTGCTGGCACTCTGTGCTGTGCTGACTCGCACTCTACATTATTAATCGCTGTCTTTTTAATCATCAACGTGGTAAGTTATCTTTCTCTGACAAAGGTATTTTCTTATTTTGGGGAAAAGACGTGCACTTAGGGGCACTTCTTTCTTATTCAATCTCCCCTTTTTTTCCCCTCAAGCCTTCCCTGGAAAACAGTGTGAGTATGAATTATTCATATAGACTTAGAAATCAAGACTAAATGACAAAGAAGATCTATTACTCACCCGTCTTTGAGCAACAGCCAGGTCTGCAATAAAAACAGAGATTATAAAATATAAAAATTGTACAATGTCCTTGACTATAACTCTTTTGGAATC